TGATGATTACTATTTTTATGGTTTTGTTTTGTTTTTTTTTTTGGATTTGGTTTACTAATTGTAATGTGTTTTTTGTATCTAATTCTATAAGTTGTACTGCCATATATTTCTTTCTTCTCATAGTATTTAACTAGCCTTAGTATTTTGGTCTGTTTTTCTATTAGACAAGAAAAAAATTAAACATTAATGATGTAGTCATTTGAGAATTTAGAATAGAAATAAACTAGAAGATTATAGGCAGGAAGATATTTAAAAAGATATGAAATTAATGAAAACATAATCAAGTACATAAGACCAACAAAATTAAAATATGGTTATTTAAAAAGACTAATAAAATAGAGTAAGAAAAAGTAAGAGAATATGCAAAAATAATATTAATAATAATTAGTAATGAAGAGGAGGAACCCTATGTAAATATTTCATCTGTTCAAGAGGAATGTGTTTTCAGTAATTGTTGGGTGCATATACTTTTTTAAATGTCCACAAGATAAAATTTCTTAAAGTGCATTTTTCAATTTCCAATATATTTTATAATTTGGCCAGGTGGACTTATTTTTGCAGTAGATTTTGCTTGTTTCCTGAATTTGCCATCTTGCAAAGACTAGAAATGTCCTCTTCAATTATATCTTTTTCCTTCCAAATTATTCTTATTAACAGTCATAGATTATTTATATTTGCATATATGTTGTTGCTTTTCGTCTCTTTTAAGAATCTGTATTGTAGTTTTGCTGTTCAGTAGTTTCACCAGCTTCACTATCTGGTCATGAATCTTTTGTTTATTTAACATGATCCTTGCTTCTTGTACTTCCTCATTTTGAGAGTCACGTTTCTTTTAGGGCTTAAACCTCTTAATCATTTTCTCTTTAAATAATTACTCACCTATCCTCTTTATCAATATTCTCTAGGACTTCTATTAGATGAGTTCTTATTCTATCCTTCTTATTTCTTAACCTTTCTTATCTGGGTGATTTTCAGTGTACCTTTTTCAGCTCTTGCTCCCAGGGTACCAATGTTCTCTTCATCATTAGCCAATCTTCTCTTTATTTTTTTTTTAAAGATTTTATTTGTTTATTCATGACAGACACAGAGAGAGGCAGAGACACAGGCAGAGGGAGAAGCAGGCTCCTTTCAGGGAGCCGGACGGAGGACTCGATCCCTAGTCTCCAGGATCACACCCCAGGCCGAAGGTGGCGCTAAACCGCTGGGCTACTGGGGCTGTCCGCCAATCTCCTCTAACATAGGTTTTAACTTTAATTACCATGTTTTTTTCCCCCTAGATGCTCACATTTTCTTTTCTATTTGTTTCTATTCCTTTGTGTTTTGTTCTCTCCTTATGCTATTAATTCCTACTTTATTTCCTGGATACCATATTACTAACATTGCTTACCTTTGTTTTTTCTTCTCAGGCCCAGATAAGACCGTTTTCCAGCTTCCCTTGTTTGAGGCTGTGATGAAGTGACTGGGCTCTGGCCAAAGGAATATGGATAGAAATGATACAAGCAGCTTCCAGGCCTGGCCCTGGTATACTCCCACTTGTTTGCAAGGTGGGTAAATGTTGAAGCTCCAGCAGAAATTTCAATTAGCACATTTCTCTGGTCCCCAGAACACAGTCAATCGAGTTGTTCAAAGAATCTTTTGTCTCTGAAAGATTTGAGGAGCTTAGCCACCTAGGAAAGTCACTGGAAATTTCTGATTATGATATGAGGGAGTAATAAACTTTATAGTGTTATGCTAATAGGATTTGTGGTTTATTACTGCAGCTGATATTACTCACTAGGATCAATAACTTTGGCATTTTAAACATACGTATTTTATAGGTATTTTTTTCAGATCATCCTATTATCTCAAATTGTGGGGTATTAACTTTTCTGTTTATTTTGCCTGTGTACTTTCCCTTAATATTGACTTTTGCCTCATAGGGCATGTAGTTTATTTCTGTGTGGGTTTTATAGTTTACATTTTTATAGTTGGAGTTAATTTTTGTGAAATTCATAATTTTTTTGAGTTCCATGGTGAAGTTATAGAAGTGTGAATTCCAGTGGAATTCTTGAATTCCTCATCATGTGGGTAGTATAGATCTGGTCACATACCTAAGCACTATGCATTTTTGGGTTTCAGTTATCTTTTTGCTCCCTACCCAGAATCAAAGCAGAAAAAATGTTACCTCCATTACCTTTGGTCATGGTTGGGGTTTACTGGTCTCTTTTACATGTAAGGGGATATTTTTCCAAGCTCTAGATTTATGAGGATATCTTCATTCCAGTCCTCCACCTCTCACAAAACACGGCCAGTTTGCTTCACTGGAATGTGTTAGAATATCAGACTCTTATCCTTGGAGCCCATATCTTGATGTACCCCTCCCCTGGACTATTGTAACAGCACCGTCTTGTGGGTAACTACTCTGGATTTGTTTCTGATTCTTGCCTTGCCAAGCTCAAGTATGTATTGATCTTCTCTTATGTTTATCTATCATTCATGTTGGGAATGGGAGTGAGACGGGGGCCTGCAGCTCTGTCAGCTCAACTCCCAGAATGTCTTACTTCTTTATTTTATAAATGAAGAAACCAAGTCCCATAGACTGCGGGTGGGGTGGAGGTGGAACATTGTTGAACTCACAGACCTATTTACTTTCACAGCACAGACTGGAACTTATTTTTCCTCACTTATGTCAGCCCTAAACTGTAATCTGAGTGAGACGATTGTGCCTATAGGTCCTCCAGGCACCTAGGACAGCACAGGGCATAAATAAAAACTTATTGACCGGTTGTCCCATTGGAAAAATAGTTTATTTCTAGGTTTCTGATATTATGAGTAGAAGGGACGTAAAGAAGTAGTTTAGGAAAGTAATCCCAATGACCAAACTCAAGGTGTATGAATTCTCTTGGACCCTCCAGAATGGAAGGCAGGGCTTTTAGAGACTTTCAGGAAATGTGTTTGAGAGCCAGAATTGCATTTACATGACCAGTGGAGATGGTGTGCCAGTGAGAATCTTCCCGGTTGATGGTTCTTATGCCCCTTCTATTCTGTTGTTTTATTTTCCTTTTCTGACTCCCTTTTTGCCATCAGCTGTAATCCTTTAGTTCATTCCTTCACCAGTGCTTGTTCTGTGTGTATCCAGACTGCCACAGATTGCAGAATTCAGGAGCCCTAATTAAAGAGCACATCTGTCTGCTTACCAGGAAACCCTGCCCTGGAGTTCCCATCTCCTGGCCTATCACCTCCTTTTGTGGCAAGCCCAGGAAGGCTGTTATTTCTATGAAGTCTTCTCCAGAAAAAAAATAAATAAATCTTTTCTTCCTCTAGGACTCTATCGCAGTTATCAAAGCCTACACTGATTCTTTGTTTACACATACATCAGTTAACGGGTGTGAATTTGCTATCAGACACTTCCTTGCAAGACTGTCACATTTCTTTGTTTTTCCAAATCAAATAACTAGCTCAGTCGCCATTCCTGCTGCTGGGGTATATTCAAGGGTAGTAACGCTTTGGGGAGCCTTTCTCTAGTTTTTGGTATCATCCAAGAATCCCACGTCTTAGTCTTATGCAGTTAAGAAGCGTGGGCATGCGGGTTACCTGGGTGACTCAGTGGTTGAGCATCTGCCTTTGGCTCAGGATGTGATCTGGGTTCCTGGAATGGAATCCCGCATAGTCCTCCCCACAGGGAGCTTGCTTCTCCCTCTGCCTATGTCTCTGCCTCTCTGTGTCTCTCATGAATGAATAAATAAAATCGTAAAAAAGAAAGAAAGGAAGAAAGAAACGTGGGCACTGCCTCTGCTGGTCCACAGTGCCCTACCTCTTGGTGTGGTTTAGAGACTCGGGCTTGGCTTGAACCAAGGCGAGAGGCAGCGCACCCTACGTGGGCGCAAGGAACCTGCTGAACTCAGCTTTCTGCAACCAGCTTGCTGAGAGCAAATGAGACAGGGCTTTCTGCTTCTCTAGAAGCCCTTTCTTGGTACCCTCACTCCCTTCCTCTTCCAAGACCATGCCTCCTCAACATCTAAGACTCAATTTAGCTCCTGACCCTTTGACTAGTTTTTTTTTTTCCCCTGAGCCTCCCCCTTGTCACTGAGAGAGAGAAAGGAGAGAGAGAGAGAGAGACAGAGAGAGAGAGAGAGAGAGAGAGAGAGGAAGGAAGGAAGGAAGGAAGGAAGGAAGGAAGGAAGGAAAAAAGGAAGGAAAAAAGGAAGGAAAAAAGCCTAGATCACATCACCAAGTTTTGGCTGTCCTTCCAGAAAGGAGTTGGGGACTAACTTTCCAATCTTTTAAATCTCCTTTAAAAGAGAATGAGACATAAAGAGGATGTCCACTGGGAATCCCATCACACACTTTTGCAGCCTTTCTCCTCCCCTATAGAATGCCTCCCAGGCAAAGATCTCCCCTCTGCTCTCAGCACTTCCAGAACCTAGATGAGAATTGGGCGGGTGATGCTCAGCAGTCGGTTGCTGGCAAAACACCGGGGCGGGAGAGAGGAGGGGGCTTCCTCTCAGGTCTGTTTTGTCTGGTTGGAGTGTCTTCCCAACCTGTGGGAGCCTGGTTCCCAGTCGCTGTCACCCAGCCACTGGCGTAAGGCGGGGGGGGGGGGGGGGAACCCGGAGGACTGAACCCCAGAATTGTTCCGGTTTCTCCCAACAACCCCGCACAGCTCCTGTCTGAGAGCAGGAGGGAGCGGAGTGGGGACCAAGGACGGAAGCGAGAGACAGAGCCTGGCCTCGGGCAGCCCCCGGCTTGGCCGGAGGCGCGATGCGCAGGCACAGCCCGGAGGAGACGGAGGCGGCGCGGGGCGCCCACCCTGTACCCCGCGCCGGGGTGCACTTCCCACTTAGGCCCGCGGGCTGCAGTTCCCCCGGCCGCGGCCGAGCAGCCCAGGCCCCCGCGGGGGGCGGGGCGGGGGCGGGGCGGGGCTCGTCACGTGGAGAAGCGCGCGGAGGCGGGGGCGCGCTCGGCTCTTTAAAGGCGCGCCAGCCCAGCCGGGAAGGCGGCTCCGCGGCCACAGGCGCAGGCCCGGGCGGAGCGCGAGACGCGGGCGCGGCGGCCGCGGTAGCTGCGAGCCCGACATGCGCCGGTCGATCTGGCTGGCGCTGGCCGCGTCACTCTTGCACGGTAAAGCCGCCGGGTCTCCCAGCCCTCGGCTCCACCCCCGCGGGATCCCGGGCGCGTCCGGGGGGCTCTGGGCGCCCCGCGCCGGGGCCAGGTTTGGGGGCTCGCGCCGGCGAGAGGCAGCGGCCGGCGCTCCCGGGGGCTGTCCGGGGAGGGCGACCTAGTGGGTCTGGGCTGCCTGCTTCAGGCGGCTGGGGGCCACGGCAGGGCATGGGGCGCACCCTGCCGGCCTTCTGTGAGCAGCCCCCCGGTCTCTCCTCTCCTTAAGTGTCTCTGCAAGGCGAGTTCCAGAGGAAGCTCTACAGGGAGCTGGTCAAGAACTACAACCCCTTGGAGAGGCCCGTGGCCAATGACTCGCAACCGCTCACTGTGTACTTCTCCCTCAGCCTCCTGCAGATCATGGACGTGGTGAGTCCTGGCCCCGGCCGCCGGGCTGTCCTCTCTCTTCCTTGGGTTCTGAGGGGCGCGGAAGCATCAGGCGGCCAGACGATGTGGCCTGGTTGGGACACACCAGCTGGCACACGGCCATTAGGGCCGCTGTTCTGCCGCCGACCTGGGCCTGCCCGCTCCGTGCCTCAGTTTACCCCCGCCGGGAAGGAACCCGGTGAAGTATGTTCCGCTCCCTCAGCCACCTGTGCATGGGTACTTCGCACCTTTCCCTCAGCTTGGAAACTCGGGATGAACATATCCCCATCCTGAGCCAGAATCAGCAAGAACAGCGTCCAAAGGGTCACATTTTAGTATACATACCCTTATAAGTGTTAGCATGCTGTGTCAATTTAGCCTTCTCTAGACTCTTCTGCTGCCTGTTGTATGTAGCTTCTTTAGGTAGGGGCTTGGCCTTGGGCTTTGCAGCTGGTTAATCTGTCCAGGCAGATGGCCAACTGTGAGCATTTACACGCCCCTCGCCCCAATTCCAATGGTGGGCTATTTTTTTCCTTCCTGGTGAGAATAGTGCTGGTAGTCCGGCTCTGATGATGAGCAAGGCTCCACACTCGAGATACATTTATCTGTTCCTTCAGGCAGCTGCTCCCAGCCCCATGGGGTTCTTTCTTTGTGGACTTACTAGTACTTCAGTTGACAAATCTGTATAAGGTGTGTAAGTTTTTTTTTTCTTTTTCTTTTGCTTTTCTAGACCGCTTTGAATGTTCAGTTTTCATTGGCATATCCTTAATACAATACAAATATTTTGCAAAAGTGCCTAATTCATTATAAATGGCTTTCGTGTCTAGTCTGTACAAGGCCTTAGACTCTGTTCTGGGTGGGGCACCTGTTGGTAGGAGTGGGGCACAGGGATTTTGATATTCAGGGGGAAGAAGACTGTGGTAGAAGAGAGGTGTGCAGATAGCCTCAGCTCCACGTAGAAACCGCTACGATTCACCAGAGGGGTACAGATAAATGGTGTAAGAAGACAGGTGATATTTCACAATCTGATAAATAAAGAGTACCCACAGGACCACAGTGATACACTTCTCATCACTTAACCTAGTTAGAATTGCCATGATGAATGGCTTTGTCTTCCTTACTGTACCTGTGTTAAACGTGTACTTCCTCGTACAGACAGAACTATGCTTTAAAATATTCAGTGTATATGTGATAACGTTGGATGACTTATCAGGAGGGTTGTAGACAAATGTCATACAGGTTACAAAAGAGTAAAAATTGCTGTTTACAGAGCTTGCATTACAAGAGGGGAAAGGACTATTTATTTTGAGAGAGAGAGAGAACCAGAGACAGAGCAGGAGCAGGGGGGCAGGTAGGGAAAGAGACACAAGGAGGGGCAGAGGGAGAAGCCGACTCCCGCTGAGCAGGGAACCCAGATCAGGGCTAGATCCTGCTTCCAGGGTGTCCAGGATAATGACCTGAGCCACCCAGACATCCCAGAAGCTCTAGTATTGAAGGAAGCCAAGTCAGATAAATGAAAGTGTAGAGGCTTTGGGAGGGGCATAGGCTCTGGGGTTTGGGGAGGCAAGAACTTTATGAAGCAACTTCTCTGTTATTTCAAGAGGTTTAGGATTTGTACTTGGGAGCTTGGGTGGGTTCCAGCTCTAATAATTTCTGGATGGCTGCTCTTAGGTAAGTTTTGTAAGTGTCCTGAATCTGTATTTTCCTATACTTCCCATCACTGTGATTAGCTAAAGATGTGAAGGCAACTTTGAGAGACCACCAAGAGCTAGCACATGACAATGGTCATTTTCATTAAAACATACCAAACCAAACAACACTCCCTGCCCCACCTCTATACACATGTCAGAGGACCTGTCAGCTAAGCTAACACATTCCACAAGTGGTGCATAATAGACTGAGAAAGTGAAAGCCACCGTCCCCATCCCATTTGCCCATGATTGGCTCCAGCCAGCCCCATGGCATGCTCCACAGCTGCCTCTCTTGGAGTTGTCCTTGTGCTGGTGGGATGGTATATGAAGGTACAGTGGCTACTTAGCCAAGGAGCAGGAACAGTGAACAAGCGGAGCAATCCTTTTAAGGCTGTGGCCGTCTCTTTGGAGAGGAGCTCACTCATTGAGCAGCTGCAGGGTTATTTCTGGGTGTGTTTGCCTCTTTAAAAGATCCTTAAGGACTCAGGTTATATGAGGGACTTGGGGGTCTTATGAGAAGTTTAAGTGTAAGCTAGAGTTATATGATGTGACAAAGAAGTAATAAAACACAAGCTTGTGTCAAGTTAGGAAACTTTAAAAAATAATGAAAATTATGAATACTGCGTATCATCATCATTCCAGTATTAGAGAAACACATGTGAAGACAGCTATCAGCAGTCTGAGGTCATGGGAAGGTGGGAGGGGAAAAGGCCTTGGTCTCACCTTGGCCATCCAGCCTTGAACACTTCCTAGGCAGGCAATGTTGTGAGCTCATGGTGTGACCTTGAGCAAATTACTTTACCTCTCTAAGCCCTGTTTCTTCATGTGTAAAATGAGAATAGTAATACCCACTTCACAAGGTTTCAAGAGGATTAAATAAGAAGTGGTTGACATACACTGGTAATTCACTGAAGGTTGCTCGATTTTAGTTATGTAGCTACTCAACTCAGAGGTTGGAAAGTCAGTGCCTGGAAAGGTATGGTCATTTGCACAAAGTTACTCATTGGTTAGAGGCAGGACTGCAAGAAAAACCTGTATCTGACTTGCAAGTCCTTTGCGTCTTGCCTCCTTTGGAGTTGGTAACTTCTTTTGCAGAACAGTTAGCTTAATTTAATTAAACTGGCTTAACTGTAGCTGACTGAATGTGACTGTTCTGAGATCCTAGGTGAAAAGAAAGTCTCTATATCAGAAATAATGAAATATGCAAACATTTGTATTCCATTTGGACTTGGCTCTGCCTGGTTTTGAACCAGAGCCAGGACTCTCCAGCTGCAATCTTAGCATCCTGGACAGATAACACAGTAGCTCTCATAAGGGATTCATGTGACAGTCTTGATTGGCACAAGATTCTCTTTATAAATTTGGTAACAGGGGTCATTTACTCACTCTGGGCTGTTCTAGAGACCATTACCCTGCCCTCCAAGTCTTGCTATTGTTCCCTTTTTTTTGCCAGCAGAGATTTCCTGGCTGGAGTGATAGGGAGATGGCATATGATGCTGCATATTTTATTTTCATGAAAGATAATTTCTGTTTCACCAGTTTATTCCACACATATTTACTGAGCTCGTTTTGTGAACTTTGCTAGATTCTAGGGATTCATAAATGAATAAGGGATGATTTCTACTTTTAAAACTCACAGTCTGACTAGGCAGACTGACGTGTAGATCCAAGATTACCACATGTATAACTTAACATACATGCCTGTACAAAGTGCTACAAATACACATAGGAGAAAACATTTATTTCCAGCTAGAGTGGCTGGGAATGGTTTCAAAGCGGAGGTAGTTGGACTTCTAAAATTGCATAAGAATTTGCCAGTTGGAAAAAGTAGGAATGACTTTCCAGGTGATGGGGGCAGGGTGAGGAAAGAGAGTTTGGTGGAATACAGCAAGGTAGGTTCTAAGAAGCTCTAGCTCTCAGTTAATCTTGGCAACAGGTTTTGCTGCAAGACTTCTTAGGATATTGAATGTCCTGAGTAATTGAGAATTTCTAAAAGAGGGGAATGGTATTGACCAAACTACTAATTTTTCTTTACAGACATTTTTGGTAAGAATTATTTTCTAGAAACATACTTTACAAGATGAAGAATGGAATTTTTTTTTGGTAGGAAATATGAATTGAATTCAGAGACAGAAAGGGAATAGAGTGTGAGGTGCCTTGAGTGCTTTTGCAGAGTTGAGGTTTTGCCTGAGCCTGGGTATCTCTGAGGGCATGAGGAGCCAGTGTGCCAGGGGATTTGTGAGGCTGCAAGATCAGCTTGCCATAGCATATTTTCCTAGAAATGGAAAAAATCCAAATCATGATATTTGTATTAAATCCCAAAAGTATAAATTATAGATTAGAATGAAAAAAAAGATGCATATATTTTAAAGATAAAACGTGTTTTCAGAGGGATTGTTTTACCTGCTGTGTTCTGTTCTAACTATTTAATAGGCCTGTTGCTGAAATGTTAGGTGGAGAGTGGGAAAGTGTGGTGTATTTTTAAGAAGAGGAGGGATGTAAGTAGATCTGTGTTTATTTAGATAGAGGTTGCTGAGGACAGTATGTGTGTGGGATTGATTGGAGAGGAGGAGAAGTGTAGACAAAGGATGAAGAGGTCGAAACTTCCCACATTGTGGGAAAGTGAGAAGTGGACAGAATCCAGAGATACTTTGGATATCCAACCCATGATGTATAACTGTTTATATAAACTTCATGTAGCTACATAGATAAATTTGTTATATAAAAGTGCCTAACTTATTCCTAAATGCATACTCTGACTCACAGCATTTATTAATTTACTTCGTGGGCTTGTAACTGGGTTGGGAATGAGATAATATACAAGACATCATTTTGAAGTGATGGAAATGCAGCGTTCTAAGCCACCAACAGTTTACATAATATTTCTCCTTTATTCATGCCATGTAGTCATTCACCTGTATGCATACATCTTAAGGCCATTCTCAGTGTTGATTTGCATAAAATAAATGTGCAGAGTTATGAAAGCATGTCCAGAAGGCAAGACATTTAAAATGAATAATGTGAATCAACACATAATTATACAAAAGGTAAAACACATAATTATGCATGAATGATTTTGGTATATTATAGATTCCACATTTAGAGTCAACCTTTTATTTTTTTAATATAGAGGGTTTTTTTTTAATATTCTACCTATTTATTCATAAAAGACACACAGGAGAGAGAGAGAGGCACAGAGACACAGGCAGAGGGAGAAGCAGGCTCCATGCAGGGAGCCCGACACGGGACTCGATCCCGGGTCTCCAGGATCAGGCCCAGGGCCAAAGGCAGCACTAAACTGCTGGGCCACCG